AGTCTATTACTTTCACCAATCAGTAAACAACATCCCCTGCCAAATGAGGAGCTTAAAGCACTTCACTCCTGGGGTGTGCACACAAGAAGATGTGCTCATCAGCAATAGTGGTGGCAAGAACAATTTTGTACTTTACCATCATTTTCCTGTTCTCTCCAGACTGGAGCTCAGAATCCTTTTGGCGAATCTTTCTGAACCCATACCGGTAGAGCTGGCGAAGGAAACTCTTCAGGCTATCTGCTTCAAAAACCTTTCCTGTGTCCCTGCGGTGAAGGACCTCTCTCTGAAACAGGTCTACCTCAGTCATGGTGCTGTCTCTGTTGTCACTCCAGTTCACAGACTGGAAGGCCTCATTCTGCTCTATGGTCCAGATCTTCTTGGGGAAGCATAGACTGAGGAGGTTGGCGTCACCTTCCTCATTGGCTGTACAATGGCTTTGTTCTTCAGGTCTGAGGCTCTCTTGGATGGACTGACTTTGTGTCCCCACTTGGTCACCTTGACTCACCAAACTCTCTCTTGTATACACCAGTGGCTCAGAAGAAGTGTCACATGGGGTCTCTCTTCCTGGCTCTTGGCTAACAGGTAGGACCAGGTTGGTGGCATACATAGTTCATGGCCACACTCTGACTGGACATCAGAAGTATTCTGGACTGCAGACCACTTACATCCCCCAAAAGAGTCCAGACTGCATTTGCTTCCCCATAGAGATGTCCACCAATTAGAAGCCACTGAGTTTGAGCATCAGTACTGTGGTGATCACCTGCTGAATTCATCATTCCCTTTGTTTGTCATATGATGTCACAGGTGTCCCACAGCCAGTCTGGAGAATGAGTTTTGTCTCAGTGTAGGGGAGTTTTCAAAAAGTATACGAAATTGTGCAGGTTTCCAGAACAGTCTCGTGTGTCCTGGCAGGCACATCTGACCCACCCTGCACAAGTTCAGAAACAGTTACCATCTCTTTGTCACTCCTCAGGGTGGGGGTGCAGGGGGCTGTTTCTTAGGTTCCCTGCTTTGCTCAGGGACCAGCCCACAATTAGTCCAAGGTTTGGGAATATGAAAAATGCTAATAAATAAATAAGTACGTAAATAAATAAATAAATAAAAGTTCAGCATTGTCCTACAGTTTTCATATAAATCCCTGTACTTTCGTTCCGAAAGCATACAAACTTTGAAAGGTAACATGCAAATCTGCAGAAACACGAGTATTGAATGAGTGCTGTAGATAAGTCAGTTAAAGATAATTTTCTGTTTTATGTCTCAGCAGGTAAAACGCATCTGTCAACTTGTAAATTTATTGAGCTGTATAACCAAACCTCTATCCAAGCCATATGAAAGGACAAAATATGATGGTAAGTTAATTGGGCTCTATAACCAACAAGAGTTATTATGTCTCATCTAGTCTCAGAGCTGTACCCATGTAGAGAGATCAGCATAGATGTCACTTGTCTTGTAGTTTTTCTTGGTTTCTTTCTTCATGTCTGTAGTCAAGATTTTCAGTAGGTTTTTCATGGTCAAATCTGATCTATATCGATATTGAAGGAATCCATGTTTTTTTTTCTTTTTGTTTTTGTTTCCTATGTAAACAAAGACATAACTGTTGTTTGCTGCAGCTCCGGGCACTGAACACGAATCACTGTACTCAACCAAACCAACATGGGGTTTATTGGGGAAAAGGAGTGAGATTAAAGAGGGGGTGTCAGTTAAGTCAGGAATTCGGGGCACCAAATCATCAAGACTGAGGGGATGTTGACCATCTTTGTGGGCCAGAAAAAGCTGGGCTGGAGTGCTGCCAATTTTGGGGGTAGCTGGCTGTTTCATAGCAGTCAAGGCTGTATGGAACTCTCTGGTACCTCTTAGACATTTACTTTCACACAGGAGGCACAGCGGGTTGATTTGAGAGGGCCTGGACATGCTTGCTGGTCTGTTGGGTGTCCAGATCCATGACTACCTGCTGCTATTCCTGTAACAACAGTAACCTCTCCCCCAGTGCAATGCACTTCCCAACTTCCATTGTGAAGTTAAGGCATCCTTAAAATATATATGCTGGTTTAGTTTAGTAGATTCCCCCATAATCCAATATCTCTCAGCAGTTGCTCTTTTTTGCTCATTAGCATTAAAGAATTTTAATAAAATAAAGAACTGTGTACTCTTCAAATGCCCTTTATTATTGTTGTTTCCCATCCTTACATGGCTTATTCTTTTTATCTTACTCTGTTCAGTCTTTAATACCTGACTTTATTATTGTCACATTATTTTTTCCGACGACTGTCTATACCATTTTCTTTCCTTTCTTCAGCACTATAGCACATTTAAAGCATACTGTACCTGTTCAGAGGGTTTCTGGTGTGGACCTGGCTTTCTCTGCTCTTGCAGCCAATGTCTGACCAAATAAGCCAAGCCTTAAAGGGACAGGCCACCCACAGAGTCTGGCCTTACAGGAAGCCCTGGTCACATTGGAACATTCACAAGCCTGCCAGAGAGACTGAGGCCTCTTCCCACCGTGGCTCCAGGAAAATGCTACTTTTAGCCTTTGTGCACTGCCCTTCTGTGCATGTGCAGTCTCCTTCTGTGGCTCTGCTTAGCATGTGGTGTTGGTGGCAGGCTCAGGTCCCCTGAGGTCTGTCCAGCAGGCTCCCCCCACTGGTTGTGGGCTGCAGCCCCAGTTGTTCGTCTACGGGGGTCAAGCCTCCTGCTGAGAGCTTGTGGTTGCTAGGAAGCTATGTGTGGCTCCATGTCTGGAACTTTTCCCAGCTGTCTCAGGCCTTATGCTTGGATATATATGCCCCTACGTTTTCCACCAAGTGGTGTTTCACTGGCAGGCCTTGGCCCAGGCTACTGCTGGGCAGTGTTCTCAGAGCTCAGTCAGTAGCTGAAACTGCAGTAGATTCAGGTACAGATGCTGTGCTGATGATAACACCACAGATAAGACATTATGGAGAACCCGGAAGAGCCCTGTTTTGTCAGAGGTATGACCTCGGTCTGGTAGTGTGAGACCTGCCTGAATTACGGGTTCATGCGGACCTCTGGCCTCCTCTCGGGCCTGCAATTTGGTAGGCAGGAACCAGGCACATTCCCAATGCTGGGAGCCTCGGGGTTCCTCCCCTGGTTAATGGACTGCTTGTCAGCATGTGTGTCCTGCAAGGAAAAGTCCTGGCGCAAGTGCCTTGAGTGACAACTATAGTGAAAGGTGGGACACAGGATAGCTAACGAGCCAGAATGATATTTCATGAGTAAACTTCACTAAATCCTCCCACTCGTTGGACACATACTGAAGTCTGGGTGCACTGGAGATTACTGAGCGAAAATGGATTTTATGGCTGGGGAGGTGAATCAGATGATAAAAGTGGTAGCTGCTCATGCCCGGGGATCTCATCTGAGTCTCCCTGAGCTGCATACATGGGGTGAGGAAACTCGGTGCCTCTGTAATCCCAGCACTACTCTGGGGAGTTGGGAGGAGAGCCACAGTGGGCCAGCATCTCCAGGGCCAGCCAGCCTGGACTACACCACACAGCAGCAGCAGAAACAAGGCAGTTCCTGCCATCACAAGGTAGAAGGGAGACCCAACTTGAGTTATGTCCTCTGGCATCTCTGTCAGCACTGAGCCCAGGCATGCATCTACCCTCATTCTCAAGTATACACAGAGAAATGGTTTTTGTTGTTGTTGTTGTTTTTAACTTAACCTTGCCTGGGGCTAGAGCTTTGACTAGGCCCTTGCTGCTCTTGCAGAGGACAAAGGTTCTGTTTCCATCACTTACATGGAGACTTGCAACCATCTGTAACTCTGGTTCCATGAAATCTGGTACACTCTTCTGTTACACATTAACATGCAGGCACAAAACGAAGACATCACAAGCATTTAAATTTCTCTTAGTAGGCATCTCTCCCTCTCCCTCTCTCTCTCTGTCTCTGTCTCTATCTCTCTCTCTCTCTCTCTCTCTCTGTGTGTGTGTGTGTGTGTGTGTGTGTGTGTGTGTGTGTGTGTGTCTGCCTGGGAGTTATGGCCTCACATTCCCATAATTCTGCCACACGGGTCCAGAATCCCTTGCACAGTGTGGGGGTAAATTATGCCATACATGTGCTGTGTTCATCTGTAACTCTAGTTCCAGAACATGATTCTTCACTGTACAGTTTGGTTTTGTGCTTTGAGGTGTTGAGGATACCTCCTAGCTGTATGTGTTATCCAAGTATTCCATCACTGAGTGACACCCCAGCCTGAGTTCTCCATGCAAAGTCCACCAGAAACGGCAGTGGCTCTGAGCACTTTTCCATCTCTCAGCCATAAGTAGCTCACACCTCAAAGGGCCTGGTCCTGGTTAATTATTTCTGATACCTGTAACATCCTTGACTCACACCACTAATATGGAAATACTCACGCTAGCGGACCGCCCACCAGACTTCCCACACTTATATTTGTGATCTAAAGGGAATTTTCACTTTCTTCCTGAAAGGGCTGTTGATGTTGAACTCGACCTTTCCATGGAAAAAGGGTAGATAGGCCTTTCCTTACATCTCCATGCTAACACGGGTCCTTTCCTTTCACAGAGCGGGTGACCACTGGCTCAGTGGAGGTTTGGGGAGGAGACTGCCTTCACCTCACTCTTGCTTTCATTTTCACTAGTTACCCCGAAGAGGAGACTAAAGTTAGAAAGAAAATAAAAGATAACAATTTTATTCTTTTTTTTTCATGAAAATGACAAGTTATTTCCCATTGCCAGGGTAATTCCAATTAGAATGTCATAGTGTCTTGACACCCATTTCAAATTAGACATGCCATTCTCAACTGTTTACAAAAATAACAATATTCTCCTACCCGGGAACAACAACAACAGGTCAGTTACAAATTGTATTCTTAAACTTAAAACATCTCCAGCTAGTGAACCTTGTAGTAACAGTAGCAACAGTTTGAAGTAACAAGGATGCCTATCGGCAGCACTCTGGTGAAGGACTCTGCCTCATCTGCTATTGGTTGGAAACTGCGAGGACAGTAGAATGTGTGCTGCTCAGGGCAGTGGTATCCTCTGCTGGGTGATTCGGGCACGGAGCCTCTGTAGCTCATCTGCCAAAGCCTCCGCATACCTGGAGGGGTAGGATCTGGGATCCCGCCTAACTATGCTGGCAAAATAATTCAGTATTTTCATCTTGGTGGTTTCTGCGTGGGCCCTGGGGCCCCACAGGAACTCGTGGCTAGGAGGATTGCTGCCTGGCACCTGCCTGTACTCCAAGTACCCTTCCTGCACAAAATGCTCAGTGATGAGGCTCCTGGGCTCCCCGTACATGAAATGATTCCTCCCAGCATACAGCCCCATGGAATTCAAGAGATGCCAAATCTCCTGCTCGCTGACACAATTGCCCCCTATGAAGATGATACACAGCATGATTATTACCAGGCCTGTCTTTGGTATGCCCGGAGTACCATGCTGCATCCCATCATAGGTGATCCCCAGGGCAGTGACAAGAGAGTAGGAGTGGACACGGGGGTCCACTTCCATAACCTCGATGCCAAACAACAGCCACATGCAATCAGTGGCCTCCGAAGAGATCACATGGAAGAACATCTCATAATCAGGAGTGACCCTGTCCAGCATTTCTGCCTTAGTTGCCAGCTGGTTCATTTGATACTTGAGGAGCAGCAACTTCACCAAACTCATCACTTTCCTGTTTAGTATATCCCGGGGGATGAACATTAGGTTGGCCATTCTCCTTAATGGGTTGCCAGAGGCCTCAGTAGACAGTAACCCTGCAATGGAGCCCAGGGCATTGGGAGGAGAGGAGGCTCTCTCAGCCCTCTGGGGAGAACTGAGCATTCCTCCAGCAGACACATCCCCTGAGGCGGTGGCAGTGGCCTCAGCCTCCCCCACCTCAGCTACAGGGACCTGGGCACCCTCCTGGCTCCTTGCCTCCCTTTGGAACTGAGTGCTGTCAGGGAGGTTGAGGCTCTGGCTGTTCTCAGTAGGATCCATGCTGAGTTTGCTGAGGAACACAGTCAGGTCAAGGTTCAGGTCACAGAGATGAAGACTGGCAGATGAAGGCCTGGGGGAGGAAGGGAGAGAGTGAGTGGACTCTGACAGCCATTCCTCAGGCTGCTCTCAAAAAGCGCCTGTCGTTTTTGGAGGATTTTGCGTGGGGCGTGCTCCAAGGCCAAAGGACTCTGGTACTGCTTGTACCTCTGAGAGATTCACAGAGGAAGAGACCCTGTTCCCAGGGTGTATGCATCTTCTTGCCTGAGGGCAAGTGTCAGAACAAGTCTCCTTGTGTGCAAGAAGGCAGTGAGGTCACCTCACACCTCTGACACCTGTTGTGGGGAGGGGTGTGTGGGGGGAGGCCAGGGGGGAGGTGGGCGGGGGTGGAGGGGTGGGGGTGAGGGTGTGGATTGTGGGGGGTGGGCGAGGGTTGGTGGGCGGGTGAGGAGGGAGTGGCGGTAGGGGAGGGGGGCTGAAAGAGCCACCTCAATTCAGTGGGGGTCATTTGGGCTAGCACAATACCCCAGCCCGATTCTCACCTGGATGAATGGCTACTTGAGGCCCTTCCTTCCCTGTGATCCCTGGGTCCAAGGTCTTTAAGGCAAGAGCCTAGGCCTGTGAGTGAGAATGAAATATATATATATATACAGAGAGAGAGAGAGAGAGAGAGAGAAATAAAGGAAGAAAGAATGATTAGCGGAGGGGAAGGAATCCACTCAAAGCGCCTCTGTTTTCCCACAGCCCTCAGGAAGGCAGGTAGGTAGCCAGTACTATGCCTTTGGCTGATGGGTCTCTCAACCCTCACCAGGAGTCCTCACAGACCCAAGCCTCCCTCTGATGACCCAGGTCGAGGAGCTCTTAGTAGGGCCCTTCAGGACTCTCTGAGGGACAGTGCTTCGGTCGGGAAAGTCTTTTTGTGGGGCTGCTGTCTGCACACTGGAGTGGAGGAGTCTCCTTCACTAACCCCCGGGGTCTTTTCCAGAAACTCCCCAGACGCCCACTTAACCAAGGACTGTGTGCTCGGACAAGGTCTCCCACTCTGGCTAAGTTCCACAGGTGTCAGGCCCTATGACCTCTGTGATAAGGGAGCCGATAACACAGCCCATCCACCCCTGCTGGGGACCTGCAGTGATGGCCACGTGTCCTGGGCTCATCTCTGCTGGGACAAGTGTTCGCTGTGTCCACCCTGAGTGCTTCTTCGCCTTCCTTCTTGAGACCCGTGCTTCCCAGCAGACCCCCATCTCAGAAAGACACCCACGTGCTTCCCAGGTGTAGCAGAAGAAATCAAAGCCCTTGGTGCCCCCTGAGCACTGACTCCGGGTCATAAACAGGCTGTGCGGTCCTTCTGCTCTCTGATTCAGAGCCAGTCCTCACCCAGGTCCATGCCCTGCAGATTCCCTCTGCTGTCCAGACGTGGCTGCCACTGGTGACCTGATATCAACCCTAGGAAGAGGGTCATCACCCCCGGGAGAGGTCTCTAGCCAAGTCATGCAGCCCAAGGAAGCCAGGCACGGCAGCTCCCGACTCGGGGCTCCCAGGCATAGGAACAGGGGCATACATGCTTCATACAGTCTTCTGTTGGGGGTACAGGGACCCTGTTCCCACGTTCATTTCTGACCACGACAGCTTACCTGGACTCACGATGGAAGATGGATACCTCCTGTGGCAAGCAGACTGCTCCCCCTCCGGGCTGTGGTGGTACTGCTCGGGTGTAGATAGAGGCTCACCTTCCTAGAGAGGAGACAGCGGTGCACAGGGCTCACCTCTGGGTTGCAGGGGCCCGGGCTTCTGGAGACTGGCAAAAGGGGCGGGGCCCTGCATTCCCCCACACATCCTGAAGCTTTCCTTCCTCTTCATTCCTCACGACAACCTTCCTGACACTCGGATCGCATCCATGTTTCAGGTCTAAGCCAACTCTGAGCCCTCACCTTATCACCCCAGTCTAAGTCAGAGGTGACAGTCTGAGTGAGTCCACAGTCGGCACCAGTATCTAGTCTACCCTGGCAGCAAGGGCTGCTTGCCTGGGTATGTCTTGGACCAGAGATCTCACTGTTTCCTTTTTGGTGGCCCTGGATCCTCACCACTACACATCTGAGTGAGACCTTACCGCCAGGATGAGTCCTCCTCCTCCACATCCTACATTCTGAAGCAAAGGACAGTGCGTACTTGGTGGAGGAGGGGAAGCAGGTGAGTCCCTCCAAGTACACCAAGGCAGAAATGCCATTTGGGTACCTCCCAGGCAGACTGGTGCTGCTTAAGTCCACTCGGTTCCCAAGTACATAGTGACTGCAAAGCGACTGTGGGGTGTAACCGCACCCCTTAAAAATCTCTGCTTCCAGCAGAGTGCTGCTGGTGGCGGCACAGGCCTAGTGATCCCAGAAGCAGGGCGGCAGTGCAGGCAGATCTCAGCGAGTTTGCAGCCAGGGCAGGCAAGTGTTACAGAGAGAAACAGTGTCTCAAAAGGAACACACGCACACAGGCACACACACACACACACACACACACACGCACACAGGCACACACACACACACACACACAGGCACACACACACACACACATAGGCACACACACACTGGCACATACACACAGGCACACACACACAGGCACACACACTCTCACACACACAGTCACACACGGAAGAGAAAATCAGTGCTCTCTGTCTTTCTGTCTTTGTCACAGTGACTGACTGACTGGGGACTGGCTTCCTTCCGTGCTGAATGCAGCAACCGGGCACCCACTGGGTGCAGGCCTCTGTGCGGGGACACAGCCGACACACCGTGGGACCCTATCTGTGGAGTGTCGTCCCCTGTCTCCTGTGGCTTCTGACTGACCGTTCCCCTGGCGCTGGCCGGAGCCTCTGTCTGGGATGCTCTGTGTGGCCGCCAGCAAGAGGTCCAGGCCGAGGTGAAGGTGGCCGCTAAGCAAAGTGTCAACAGGGACTGCAGTGTCTGAAACCTTTCCCTCCGTTCTTAAAGAGGCCCCGACGGCCCAGACACGGTCAGTCACCCCGACAGCCCAGACGCGGTCAGTCACCCCGACGGCCCAGATGATGCGGTCACCCCGACGGCCCAGAAGCGGTCAGTCAGTCACCCCGACGGCCCAGACGCGGTCAGTCACCCCGACGGCCCAGACCCGGTCAGTCACCCCGACGGCCCAGACACGGTCGGTCACCCCGACGGCCCAGACGCGGTCGGTCACCCCGACAGCCCAGACGATGCGGTCACCCCGACAGCCCAGACGATGCGGTCAGTCACCCCGACGGCCCAGACGCGGTCAGTCACCCCGACGGCCCAGACGACACGGTCAGTCACCCCGACGGCACAGATGCGGTCACCCCGACGGCCCAGACATGGTCAGTCACCCCGACGGCCCAGACGCGGTCACCTCCCCTCAGACAGCGGGCGAGCCTGTCCCTCTCCTGCCAGGTCTCAAACTGGCCAGAGTGTCCCGGTGCCACCGAGTCGACTCCCAGGCCCGCAGCTGTGACTTGAGCCCAGAGCGGCCCGATGTGGCAGGCCGCCCAGCCGGCCTCTCCCTTGCAGCCACCTCCCAAGATGGCTTCGACGCCCCCAAGGCCCCGGATGCAGGATCCGCCTTTGGCCTTCCCCTCCAGGCTCCCGAGTGCCTCCCTGGGTGCCCGATTCCTGGTGTTGGCAGAGCATCCTCCCGTGCCCTCCCAGCTCCCCGGGAAGAGTCTCTGAGCCCCCAGTGCCCAGATACCTGGAGGCCCTGTTGCCAGGCCGCTTCCACTCAGCACAGGAAATGGCCACGCGGCCCCCAGGTGCCCGGATGCGGAACGGTCGGTGGGCGTGAGGGGCTCCGTGCCAGGGACCTCCCACCGGCTCTCCCAGCCCCCCCCCCCTACCCCCCTGTCCGGACACAGGAGAAGGCCTGGCTCTCTCCCTTCAGGGGCCTCACAGTGTGTCCCAGCCCCCGAGTCCCCGGATGCGGATGCGGGTGGATGCGGAAGCTCCAGGGCCTGGTGCCCACACTCACTCTGCCCTTTGGTGCAGGAGCCTCAAAGACCCACAAAGTAGCGAGGCTCTCGGCCTGTGCAGGCTGTCAGCTTGGCTTCTGAGACCCGACTTCCCTACTGAGGAGAAAGCCCTGTGCTCACCCCCCCTAGTGATTTCCACCCCCAGGGCCCGCAGGGAGGGGAAGGGGCTGCTGTGCACACCAACACCTGAAAGACCTGCAGAGTGCTGCCAGTCAGGCTCCCACTCAGGAAAGGCTTCCCCGCCCCAAAGCACTCATGAGTGGCTGTCTGGATGCAAATAGCATGAGGTCTTTTAAATTCCAAGTGCACTGGGGTCCACAGTCATGCACTATGCAGGGGTAGAGGACCGAGGACCATGAGGGCAGAAGTAAGATGATAGGTTGTATAGAATTGCAACAAAGCCCATGCATCTTAAACCAATCATCTGGTACCATCCACAGCCCGCCTGGTGCAGACCAATCAATTTAACCCATCCAAGCCAGAGCGCTTTATAGACCAATCAGTTTTCTATAGCCCGGAGGTCTGCATTTGTTGGGTTCCTTGGTGGGGTGAGAAAGCTCATGTACTCACAGGTCCTGTCCTAAATAGCAAAGAATGTGACCTTTTGCCTTTTGCCCCAGGGGACCGAGTTTGTTTTTTGTTTTTTTGTTTGTTTGGTTTTGGGTTTTTTTGTGGTCATGGGAGAGCTAGGCTGTATTTCTTCATCCTTTCATTCCCAACTTCTTTTGTTGTTAATAATTCTAATCTTAGAACCGGGATGATTAAAGGGCAGCCTCTTCTTTGCCCGGAAGGCTCTTGTACTGTTGTCTAGGTACCATGATCTGGACGGCATTCACTGGGTCCTCCTGCATCAATTCCTGCTCCCAAGAGGAGAATAAGTGTCAGTGTGTTTAGTGGTTCCCTCTTCTGTTGGGTCAACCTACCTCCGTAAACTGAATGGAGTCACCTGGTTGAAGAAGCAGGGCCCATATGAAGGAGCTTAAGCTTAAGGGGATTTTCAGTC